TGGTGAGAATATAATTCGTGTGTTGAGCTTACTTAAAAGATCGCGACCAAGTAGAAGGATTGGACACTCTTCCATGTATAGGAAGCTGTGCTGGAGCTGTATGGTGCCTAGCCGGCACTCCAAAGGTTGCAGGAAGGCTTTTTGTTGTGGCCTTCCTGTAATCCCAGTGACTGCTGCAGTCTCTTTGCTCATTTTAGTTAATTTTGAATTCAAAACTGAGTATGTCGCTCCAGTGTCCACCAAGAAATCAATGAGATGATCCCCCACAGTGAGTGTTACCCGGGGCTCTGAGGGGGTTATTCTAATGGGCTTCTCTAGATCTAGTGGAGCCCCCGGGCACCCCTATTCTGCATCTGAACTTTCTCCATGAACTATCATTTGTCTCCTCTCCTCTGCACTTGGCAGAGTAGATTCCTTCTACTCTGTCTGTATTCCCTCCTATCTTCACCTGAGGCTCTACCCTGTGCTGTCATTTGTCTCCTGTCCTCTGTGCTGGGCTCTCGATTCCTTCTCTGTCTGTATTCTCCGTCATCATCTGAGCCTCCACTCTGTGCTAACATTTGTCTTCTTTCCTCTCTCCTCGGTTCCTGGTTCTGTGTACTCCTTCTATATTCCCTCCTGTAACCCCTACGTGAATCATCATATCTTGGGGTTCTCTGTCTTCTATCCTGCCTTCTATAATTATTGCGTCTGCCGCTTCCCTGTAACCTGGGACAACTGTACTTCCAATGTCCCTCTTCCCTACAGAAAGCACACTGATTTCTTCCTAGGGGTTCACGTCTCTGTCCATTATTGTTTCCCTGAAACCCTGTTCTGTGTTCTCTTTGTAAGAAAACAGTCGCAGGTTTCGGTCTCCTGTCCTCTCTATTATTATAAACCCTGAATGCCAGGTCCACTACCTGGGACGGACTCATCTCAGTGATGCCGTCCACCCTAGCTAACTTTTTCTTTATGTCTGGGGCACTATGGGTAATGAAAGCCATAGTGATCAGACGAGCATTTTCTGGGGCATCTGGGTTTATATCTGTGTGGTTAGTGTAAGTTTGAATAATCCTCTCAAGGATCTCTGACGGATCCTCATTAGCTCCTTGCTCGAGTTGCAATATTTTGTTAAAGTTTTTTTGTTTGGGGATCCTCTGCTTCAGTCCTACCAATAAACATTTTTTATACAGATCCAACATCGCCGTTCCTCCATTGTTAGGGTCCCATCCAGGATCTCTCTCTGGGACAACAACCTCTGGCTCTGGGGACTGCCTATTCTGTTGGTGGAGACGGTCAGCCTCCTCCCTGGCTTTCCTGAATACCATCCTCTGCTCATCCAGCGTTAATAAAGTATGCAGCATGGGACTGTATATCTGCCCAGTTAGGGCGGTGGGAGACGAAGATAGAGGCAAACAATTTCGCCATCCTCTTAGGAGCCTGCCGGTACGAGGGAACAGAGCTCCTCCAATTTAGGAGGTCCGCAGTACTGAACGGATGGTGCGACCAAAAGTACCCAGCAGGTCTCCCATGTTCATTTAAGCCACCCATTGGCATCTGGCGAAGGGGAAACTGTCCTGCCTCAGGGTGATCCTTCCTGCCAAAGTGGGTGCCCAGTCTAGTGTGGGGAGGAGACGCCATTTTAGTTTCCTCCCCAGAGGGCAGTGGAGGCTGTGCAGCCTCAGGGGTCTGCACGGGAGGGGCCTTGTCACGTGGAAGAGGATTTTGTCCTGATGTATTTAAAGTATTTAAAATATGATGCTCCTCCTCTTCTAACTCTGCTCGCTGGCAGTCCTCATGGAAAGGGGAAGGTCTATCCTTTCTCTGTGCCATAAGCCGAGCCTCCACCATATCCAATTTATGGAGGGCGGCCTCTATCCTGTCCTGCATACTTTTAAAGGCTTGATCTTGTATGCTTTCATAAACTGACTCAAAGATGTTACGGTTCTCATCCCTCATGCACTTAATAGTTAAATCAAAGGCCTGATTTTGTTGTTGTATGGCCAAGTTAAAAGCCTGAATGTGTTGTTGCACATTCTCAGTATGTGAAGTAGAACATCTACCTCTCACAGAAACAACAATGTAGCAAATTGCGCTTACACATATTACCAAAAAACCACCCAGAAGCACGGACTGTAAAGGGATGGCTTGTAAACCACCCATGTATGTACACAATAGTAAAATCACGTGCCATACACCAGGCTTCATCAAATTATTTATATTAATGAAACTGGTGGTGATATTTAATGGAAGAAGGCTACTCAAATTCAAGGCCGGAAGGAAACTGAAAGAACTCAGGCTAGGGATGAAATTGTTTAGGCTCATGGTTGAGGCCATATTTGAGTCAAAACGCACCCACAAGGGCTGTACGCACAGGGAAAAAACAGACTTTTCACGAGTCCTGCAGAACTAGTGTGCTTATGGTGACCAACGCAAGGAATGTTACTTTGGACTGGTCAACCGCGGATGTAACTTGGAAACCACGCTGGGCGCCAAACTGTTGTAGAGCAACCCCGATACAAAACGGGGTGCCTGACTGTGGGTCCTCACCCGCGTGCTTAAAAGGACTTATCAATGCTCTACTGCAGGCACACGTGAAAGGTTAATAAAAGGTTTATTTACAAGGGAAGGACAAATGAGGAAATGTACAGCTCTGGGAGAAAAATGGGAGACAAAGTTTTAAATGAGTCCTACCCGATCCACCGATCAGGAATCCCAAAATGGCGCTCTCAGAGTTCGCCGCCAGCCAGGAGCCGTGAAGCCAGGAGGCGAGCGATCTCGAGCCAGAGAGAGCCCAAGGCCCACGTGTTTGGTTTTTATATCCAACCTGGCTACCCAACTCCACCCTCAGGTCCCAGTCACCCTCCCTTGGTGGTGATGGGATTTGTCTTTCCCAATGTCTTGATGGCTTTAGTCTGGAGTGGGGGTGGAGTCCACAAAGCCTGTATGGGATTAACTCAGGACATCATTTCCCCCTAACAGAAAGAGACACGCAAACATTACCTGCAAAGGTGAGCCCATAGCACTCCAGTTAGTTATACAGTCTTTAAAAGGGGGCCAATAAATTTAGGAGGGAGAAACAAAAAAGGACTTTGAAATTTGAAGAAGGACCTATGCAGGTTCTCTACCTACACACTGAAACAGACCTTGCAAGCCTTAGAATAGAGTGATAAGGCTAAAAGGCTGTCTCCCACATTTCAGAACACGAGATTTCCTTTTCTTTCAGGAGATAATCAAGCAAAGTATCATCCAAGGATCTTGTTTTGATTTCTTTCATTTCAACCTTATCAGCATGCCACTTAGACTCACCCTGTGGCAGCCTCCCTTTGGTCCCTATGGAAGATATCTAGGGACTCAGAAACTTACGGTTTTAGAAAAAGTCAATGTGGGCAAAATATCAGGTAGACACTACAGAGCCCTAAACCTTCAAACACAGTCATCAAACAAGGACTCAAGAAAATTCAGGTTACAGCTTTCAAAACTGTGCTGGTGCTGGCTCTAATTCTAACATAACTATCTCCTCACTAGTGTAAATACATTAAGAAATAGTTGGAAGTTTTGTTAGGGGGAAAAGGATGTCCTAAAGCTAAATTCCATACAGGCTTTGTGGACTCCACCCCCACCCCAGGCCAAAGCCAAAGACACTGGAAACTCCAAATCCCATCACCACCAAAGGGAAGGTAGCTGGGACCTGAGGGTGGAGTTAAGCAGCCAGGTGGATATAAAAGGCAGACACGTGGGCTTTGGGGGGTCCCCCCATTTTGGCTCTCCGCCAGCTTGCAGCGTCTGGCCAGCTCTGAGAGTGACCTTGGGTTTCCAGGTTGTCGGATCGGAAGGCCGCATTAATGACTTTATTTCCCTATTTTCTCCCTGAGTTGTACATTTTCCTTATTTCCTTTTCTCTTGTAAATAAACCTTTTATTAACCTTTTGTGTGTGTCTGTAGTAGAGTATTAGTAAGTCCCTTTAAAGCGCGCGGGTGAGGACCCACAGCCAGGAACCCTTTCAGGAACCCCTTTATCGGGGCTGCTCTATAACAGCTTTCCGACATTGGAAAATACCACGAGCACAATAAGCAATTAAAGAAAATTTTAAAGCACAGGTGATACCAAACACTAAGTTCAGTTTCCCTCAGCCAATAAAAGGAAACAGAGTTTGAGGCAATGGAAAGAGGTTTAATTTGTTGACAAATGAGGAGGGCAGCAGACTCATGTCTGAAAGACAACCATCCCATTCTTTGGCAGCATGGGTGGGGGAAGTTTTACAAAGGGAAAAAGAAGTGCAGATGGGCTAGGGTCTGCAAAGTGGAGGCAGGAAGGGGTTGACAGAGATGAGTGGATCCAGCCTGTTATTCTTCAATAGCTGATATTTAACTTTCTCTTCCTTGAAATGCAGGAATACTCATCTGGGAGACTGGGTCATAAAGATAAATCTATCAAACAAGGGGAAATTGCAACAAATGGGGAAAAGACAAACTGTTAATCTTGTTACAAACCTGTCAGGAAATAGGGGAAAGACAAATTTGTTAATGCCTACCAGCTAAGAGGCTGGTCATTTGTAACTATCACAGGCTATCATAACTTTATACCTCTCTGGTGTCCCGCTACCCTGTCCCGTAACCGTGGACTTTGGGCACCAGATACAGTCACACTCCCCACCTATTTTAGGACAAGCAAAAAATGGAGACATTTCAGAGGCCTCAGCCGCTCCCCGCCTAGCGCGATAGAGCGCAAACTCCCCCGGGCAGTTGGAACGTCCTCCTCGATTAAGGAGGACAAAATGATAACACAGATATGCAGGAAGAGGGTACACGTTTGGAAAACGCACTACTAATAATCATTGCTCCTCTAACGGCTCAGATAACCAGTCACCCTATCTACAAGATAAGCATCCCACACCCTAAGAGCCTCCATTCCAGATCTCGCGCGACCTCCGCTTCTCGGGCTCGCCAGTACCGACACATCTCGCGGGACTTCCGCGGACGGCGCGGAAGGATCAGGTGACGTCAAGGCGCGACATCACGCTTGCGCAGATGGAGGCGGCGAGCTGGCGTGCGGAGCTGCTGCCTTCCGCCAGAGGTCGGCACTATGGGGCTGAGCCGGGTGCGGGCCGTTTTCTTTGACTTGGACAACACGCTCATCGACACGGCCGGGGCGAGTAGGAAAGGCATGCTGGAGGTAACGTCCTGGCTTCCGCAGCCCTACGCTCCGCCGGCGCCGCGGCCCGCACCGCTCGCTTTCCCGTCCCCTGGCCGCCCCTCACCCCCACCTTCCCGCCTTCCGCTCCCAGCGCTGCTGACGCCTCGCCTGGGGCCGATCTTTCCGGGGAGCCCCGGAGGCGCGGGCCTAGAGTCTTTTGATACTGTCCCCCTTACGGGAAGGAGCCAGGAGCGGTGGGTTAGGGGTTACCGGCTTGGAGACGCCGCCTTCCTTCTGCACTGAGGCTCTGGGAGGCTGGGTTCACGAAGTCGGGTCCAGCCCTCCGAGACCCAGAAGGAGCACATTCAGTCTGCCACGATGGCAGAGTAGCCCCACAAAGAGAGACAGCCACGCCATGCCACAAGACAGCTGGCTTTTTGACCACAGGTTTGGAACAGCGAGATGAGTGCTTGCGTCCAGCTCTAAGTAGTTGACCTCGAGGGAGGGTCGTCACTCACTGCATGGGTTTCGATGGCTCTTTAAGGAAGCTACATACCTGGCAAGTGGTGCTTGCTTGCAAGTGCTGCTTGCAAGTGCTGCTTGCAAGTGCTGCTTGATCAACTCCAGAGAATTTTCTCCGTGTGAACTCCTCTCTGATCTCCCTGTTGTAGATTTCTGAGGTGACACTCAGCAAAAGTTCGAGCTACACGGGGCATTCCTTTCACGAGGCTTCACGCAGCAACATCGTCTCCTTTCTGTACCTACATGTGTGCCTTTTTAGAACTTTTCCATGATCTCCAAGCCTCTGATTCACCCTTTTCTTTCCTCTCCCTTCGGCTTTAAGGAGAAAATGATCTCCCCTGCTCTAGTTAAAGCTGAACTTACCTCACTAGACTGCTGCTGTGGTCTTGTCTCAAGGTTTATCACATGGAGTTCATGCTCCACGTTCCCACCTCAGTGAAATTGCCAAAACAAAATTCAGATTGAATTTCTCCCTGGTCTTTACACCCTTCTTTACCAGCACCATAATTTGTTCAGATGTCTCTTAATGTACATGTCAAAAGATAATTACAATTAACTTTTGCAACTCGGATGCCCACAACTATGAGCTTCTTAAAAAGGAACTGACTTACTCATCTTTGCTGGACATATGGCAAATGCTGACTGAAAGTAGGATAGATGAAAATCCAGGTCTCCAGACTTGGTTCTGTTACCATGTCCTTTATAAATACCCTATAAGCAGAATTGAAGTGTGAGCTTTTCACTAGCAAGGAACACTTTCTCATGAATGAGTATAATCCCACCCGGGGTTGGTCTGTTCAGAAGTAACATGCCAGCTTTCATAAATTTCTCTGAATGATTTATGAAATGGGAAAAAATGTTGCCTTGGACGGGGCAAGGATTCACATACTGACTATATCAGCTTTAATAAGTATTATAAAAAGTGGAGGGGGAAGCTAGTTACAGTTTCAAATACAATAGATTGGTCAGATTGGGTAGTACTGAGTAAATGATGTTTGAGCAAAGACTGAAAATAACAGGAGTGGAGTTTGAGTTGTTTGTATGTCGCCAGTCATCTTTTTAAGCAAGTATTTTTAAAGTTTTATTTGGAATTCAGCTACCTCATATCTTAAAAATTGTTATATTCTCTGATTCCCATTCTGACCTTGAGAGAATCTTCCTAATAACACAGTTAAACAAGTACTGATATTAACTTAATTCTGGGTTCAGAGAGCAGTGGGTAGAAAAGTTTCCTTTTTGTGTATATTGAGCTACATACAGCCTTGGAGTTTTGAGTAGATAAAGTTTGAGTTTATATTACAGGTATCCCACCATTTTCAAAGTTTAAACGTATTACACTGCTTTGCTTTTACAAAAGACCTATATTAGTACCTGTTTTTGCTAGCTAAAGAAATCTAAAGAGTTTTTTTTTTTTTTTTTTTTTTTTGCAATAGCCAAAAAGCTGAAATTAATGTTCAAGGTTGTTTTTTAGCACACTCTGAGCAGTGAATGTGGCCCCAACCAAGCTCCTTTTCCTTTGTAGACTGTGTATTTATCATATCATATTCCTGCTTTTATTATATGTTAGCATTATTTTAGGTTTTATGTGGCATTTTATATGATTTGATAGGTTTTTCTGGAATCTGAGGGTACTCAAAAATGTTTCCATATAAATTACAGTAATTGCTTCTTCCCTTTAATACATTTCAACTTATGAAAGGTTTCACAGAAACCTTTTTTAGTTTCTGATAGTGAGGGAAATCTTTGTCTACAAACTGATCTCCCTTCTCACACTATCTTGGTACCCCTTCATACTTATTAGTACCTGGCAGGCTCATTCTACTCAAAATCCATTTTAAACCTGCCTTATCCTTGCACAAATTGTCATCATACCTTCCAAGTTGGATGTATTTTTCCTCCACTCCGAATTCACTCAAAACTCCCTTTCTCTCAGTGCTTGTGTTAGGAGAATTTATACTAACAGTGCATACTAATTCACCTTAGGTGTTATTTGTGTTAGTATGTGAATGACTAATAAACTTTTCACCCCCAAAGATATTAATATTATTAAAATGCTTCCTGTTATCACAAATATGTAAGTGGTTGCTGTGTGACAAAATAGGAGGTTAATTCAGAGGATGTAATGGAAAGAAGTTTTGCAACCAGAGTAGTATGCCATGCCTTAAAGGCAGATTCTTATCTGCCTTTAAGGTGAACCAATTCTGCTTTTACAAAGCCCAGAGAATGTGCTTAATGAATTGCCAATTGCAGTAACAGGAAATTGGATCTTACTGATGTCCCTTTCTGCTAACTATGAGCCAACTCCTATTTATGATCAAGCACTGTGGAGTCTTACTGGCTTGTGCCCTTTGTGTAGCAATAGGGTTGCCCAAACTTTAGAGTGATTTTCAATCAGCACACAAGTAAGTCAGTTAACATTTCAAAAAAGATGGTGACATCATCATGGTGATTGAAAAGGCTTGATTTGTGATTGAAATTTAGCTTTATACAGGAAAATTTTCCAGAGTTTTGCCTTCAACTCATAATCTTAGGGCTGGTATACTTTTCTAGGTCTAATGAGATGTCTCTTAATGATTACATTTTCTGATTAGCACAAATAGCCTACAATTTTTTCCCTTTACCTTCTGTGTAAGTGATTCGTACATGCTGAGTGGAGAATATGTCTCAAGTTTTTAGTCCCAGTCATGTGTATTGCATTCATCCTCAAACATCCAAAATTGCCTTGGCATGGTTGACTTTCTCCCATGTCCCTACAACAGCGACTTCAGGAGCAGATAGTTTATTTAGGAATTGATGCCAGGCAGCACTGTAGGGGGAGACAAGTAAAACAATAAAATAATCTAATACAGACTGCTTTAACAGGCAGGTAACTTGGTGTGAACAGTCAAGATGTGCTGAAAGACAGTGTGCCAAATAAGTCCCTCCCTGGGGTTAAGAAAGCTGTGAGATTGGTCCCTATTTTTTGCCCCTTGTTTGTTGAAAGCTGCTTCCAGGGCAATACATAGGCCCTAGCTTGGGGGCAGGAGCTACCCTGTGGCCAAATAAAGCTCCCGGGCAGAGAAGCACAAGTACCTGCAATGTGAAGCCACATTGGCACATGTGGGAGTAGTGTGTGCCTGGGACATTTGGGTCGCATCTGCTATAGCTTGGGGTTCAACACCCTTTACAAACTGGTTCCAAACAACCTCTTCGGCCTCATCTCTAAACATCTTCCCTCGCATGCATTGTTTCATCTGAACTCAGCTTCTTGCCTTTCTCAGGCAGTTCACAAAATTCAGAACTCTGTGCCTCTGTTCCTTCTGTTGCTTCTGTCCAGGAAGATTTGGTCCTCTTCCCAAACCCACCTCATGTGCTTGGTAATAAGCCCATGGGTTTAAATTACTTCTGCCAAACCTTCCCAAGTAACCTGTGGAATAACTTGCTCCTTCCATTTGATTTCCACACTCATTTATATGACTGTCATGGGAACCCAGCATTTGTAGTGTCTGCGTACCTGTTTATTTCCCTCTCCAGATAGTGCCATAAGGACAAGAGCCCCAGTGTCCAGTGCTCAGTACAGCACAGTAAAAGCAAGCGTGCGGCCTTTGGAAGGAGGCAGGTGTGAATTCAGATCCCAGCTTTACAGGTCTGAGCTTTCTCATTTAAAAAAAGAATTGGATGGAGCTAGAAGGGATCATGCTCAGCGAAAATAAGTCAGAAAGAAAAAGAAAAATACCGAATGGTCTCACTCATAGCAGGAATTTAGAAAACCTAAATAAGAGACCAGGAAAAAGACTAATCAATGCAAAGTAATAATCAAAATCAACAAGCAACTATAAACCAGAGACACACTGCGGGGGGCGGGGGGGGGGATGTAGGGAGGGGTGGGGAGAGGAAGAGCTAGAGTCAAAATAAGGGGGGGGTGCAGTTGTATGGGGAATATAACCAAAATGAAAATGCATACATTGTACAAAGATGAAAAATGATGTAAGAATTATATAAAATAAAATATTAAAAAAAATAAAAAAGGAACTTCCTTGAAGAGTTGTAGGAGCATTAGAAATAATGCATACTCATCATTGAACATTAATATCTGTCACTTTAGAGTCTTAGTAAATGTCAGAAGGTGAGCCAAATGGAGAAGAACCTAATGTAATGAAAGCTGAGATAAAAGGGTCACGGCAAGGATGAGAGGGAGGGCTTACTTCTGATGAGGAATGCATAACCAGCAGAACAAAGAGGGTGACTGGGCACTTTACAAGTACAGAATTGGGTCCTATTTCACATGGTGGTTGATTCAGGACTTTAAAACATAAAATGGATTCAGATGACAAAAGGTTAGATGAACTGAGTTACCTCTGGGAGTAATTTAAATAATGATTGTTAGAAATTTAAAATGTTTTACTCTAAAATGTAAGTAGAGGTTTTATTTTCATGTCTTCAGGACCAGAATAAAAAGTAAAGGACTAAAATGCCAAATGAAGGGTTTTTTTAGCTGTATGTGAAGACTCTTTTCAGAATAGAAATTGGAAAAAAATATGAATGAGTTGTATATAGAGGCTGGGAGAGCTTGGTTTTGGTGATCTTTAAAAGTAAGACCAATTTCCACCACCAGTAGTGTAGTAATAGAGCTGCCTTCAGACAGGAATGAAGGTGGAATCTCTGCTCTGGGCTTCTAAATTAAAGCTTCTCAGGGCAAGACTATTACAGACAAATGTGTATTAATGAAGTTATTTTCCTTTAGGTGATAAAGCTCTTGAAATCAAAATACCTTTACAAAGAAGAGGCTGAAATCATCTGCGACAAAGTTCAAGTTAAACTCAGCAAGGAATGTTTCCATCCTTCCAGTACATGCATTACTGATATAAGGACTTCACATTGGGAAGAAGCAATCCAAGAAACAAAGGGCGGTGCAACCAACCGAAAGTTGGCTGAAGAATGTTATTTCCTGTGGAAAAATACACGTTTGCAGCATATGACACTAGCAGAAGATGTCAAAGCTATGCTCACAGAACTTCGAAAGGAAGTCCACCTACTTTTATTAACAAATGGAGACAGACAGACCCAGAGAGAGAAAATTGAGGCTTGTGCCTGTCAGTCCTATTTTGACGCTATTGTTGTGGGTGGAGAGCAGAAAGAGGAGAAGCCAGCACCTTCCATATTTTATTACTGCTGTGATCTCCTTGGAGTACAGCCTATAGATTGTGTGATGGTTGGTGACACACTGGAAACCGATATACAAGGAGGCCTCAATGCAGGACTGAAAGCAACAGTATGGATAAATAAAAATGGAATTGTGCCGCTGAAGTCCTCGCCTGTGCCACATTATATAATCTCTTCTGTGCTAGAGTTACCTGCTCTCTTACAAACTATAGATTGCAAAGCAAGTGTGTCCACGTAAAGTACATGAAAGGGCACGATTACAAATTTCAGGGTCAGATTACAGGGTTTGAGTTTAAAAAGTTAAAACATTCCATATGATTCAGTTTTAGGAATAATTTTGCTTATGATATAATGGCCGGCCAGCCAACCATTGACGAGTATTTATACTTGAAAATGCATTGTACATTTTAATAAAAGTTACTTTTAGTACTATAATCCAGAAGACTTAAGGAAATATTTGTTAATCAGTGACATCTTTTGGTATCTTGGATCCATGAAAATATCACGCAGGATAAATTACACATGGATGCACAAATACAGGTTTTATGTTCTGGCTTGAAAATTTTTTTTCAAAAAGGCATTGTAGAACATACAGTAGTAGAGATTTGTAGGAGCCATTAGATCTCATTAATATGAAATAAGTACTAAGTCACATGCTTAGTATACTAAGTATACTAAGTACTAAGTCTCTGGACCATTTTCAGAGAGCCATTTTAATATTTGGCTATTAAGTTCCCTATCTAAAATTTGGGGAAATATTTTGCAAATTTCTGTGTCCAGTTTTCACTTTGAGCTTATCAATTAATGACTCCATAGCAAGACCTCTTGGCAACTATAAAATACTCTCTAGATCATAAGGATGAAATATGATTTCATTAACCAAACTTGGAGTAAAATGAATAAGGAGAAAACAATCATTTGGATTAACCTTTGAATAAGAAACTATATGTATAGCTATGACTCCAATTACCCTAAATTATGATACTTAGATTTCAAATTATGCCTATCTGTAAGCCTATTTCTTACAGTTATTGCCTGTCTACCAAGAACAGAGTTCTCTGCCATTGTCTTGATGCCCTGTTGTTTTTACTTTGTTGATTTTTAAAGATGTGAGTTTGCCCTTGACTGTCCCACGATGCTCTTGCTATAAAGCTGAACATTTGTGGATAGGGTATGTTGCAGGTATGATGCTCATGTGACCTCACTTATATATTAGCTATTTAAAAATTGTTAAGTTGGATGATCTTGCCAGAAAATAATAATATGCATGATTTCTACAGTAGATTGATGGTGAGGGCTTGTCCTTTTATCTGTCCCACAGGATGGATGTAAGACAACATTGCATTCACAATGTGAACTAGAGAATAGAAAAGATGGTTCATCCATAAATCATAGTGGCAGATCTCAACGAGAATGCTCCTAGGATGTTAGTGAGCAAAAATGATCTTGGGGAGAGAAAATGAAATAATTGAGTTTCCTTCACAGTTTACGTACAAGGCAGTAATGCAATATTACATTCCTTTTGGACCCTTCCTTAGGGAAGAACTTTCGGTTTTCTACCTTCTGAGTAGAATGTTACAGGAGATACTTAGAAATCTTGGAATAGACCTATGATTTTATTATGTTTTTGTTTTAAAATAATCCTTAAAATTAAAAAGTTATGTAACTTTTGTCAGCTTTATTTTTTTCCTAGTCATATTCTCATACAAAACCATAAATTCTCAGTTGTCCAGAGAATTGGACAATTGTCCAGAGGCTCTCCCAAACACAGAGGAAGGCCCAGAGTAGACACAAGATGATATCGCACCTGGAATACTAACACCAAGATGAAGCCTTCTGATTCCATAATATGTGTACTCACTGGTTCATGAACATCTTAGATCTGGCAGTGCCCAGGTTACAGCTGGTATTGAAGGAGAGAGCTTATAGTTAGAGAGGTATTTAGTTTAGCACTTTAAACTTTTTAGCAATCCACATAAATATTTTCCATCATGGCCCATTAAACACATTTATAGTCGACATGTTAGTCAATGAATATTCATATGTACATGTTACATATTTACAAGTTTCATAAAACTGCATGCTCAAATTTTTCATTCCATCCTTTTCTAATCAGGAATTATACCCACTTTTGAACAAGTACCATTAATTTGTGGTACACAAGTAAAAGGGTGAATGACAAAAAGTTTAATTATCCCTTGGCCAGGGACCCAGTCCCCCTAAAGTTCAATGCTATGTATGATTAGGTAGAATTAAATTTTTTATTCCTCCACTTCAGTTTTAGGAAACTGAAACAAAGTAATGAAACTAAGTCATTTTAGTTAGGAACATGTACCTTCAGAATGGGCATGGTCATTCACTAACAATCTTGCTGGGTTTTTATGATAACCATTTGGTTTCCCTGACTCTGCCTATGGGTTTACTTTGAGGGGAAGGTTATTTCCAGTTTGGAGCCCTACCACTTCTCCAACTTGACCAGTTGCTTTCTTCTTGGTGTATAGCACCATTCTAGTGGTTTCCTTTTGCCTTTTATGTTGAATTTTCTAGTGTATGTGTTCTGTGTATTTCTTAATTTGACGTGCTCCCTCTCTCCTATTTTTCCATCTTTGGTATTTTCCATACTTTTGGAGAGGCTTCATCTTCTAATCCTGTAGATTTCCCCCATCCCCCACCCTTTGCTTAACATCATATATTTTTTTAAATTTCCAATAACTGTTTTTGGTTTTCTAAATTCCTTTTTAATAACATTCTGGTTTTGTCTTCTGAGTGGAATATTATCTCTCAAAAGTTTTATGTTATTGCAGAATCCACTATTTATTCCAATTTGCTCTAATCTGTTTGTTAGGGTTTAATTGTCCACATTAAAACCTCTCCTCAAATGCTCAATAACCTTCCATTATTCGTGCATAAGTTTTACTCCCTTGGTTCATTTGTTATCCAGGAGAAAAACCTTGGTCTTGTTCTGCTTCCAGGCAGATTTCTGACATAGCACCTGGAAGATGAATGGGAAGAACTGTATGTTGGATGTATATGGTCACTTAATTTCTGGTTCTAGTTGTACTTGTGTGTGGTGTTCCCCAGTCTCAAACCTCTCTTTTATTGTTCTCCAGAGAAGCATCTCAACTTCTCTGAAGTGAGAACTTCAGTTTGGATTGGGGGCAGTGACCTACAGATCCATTTGTGTTCTTAACACCTTTTACCCCATCCTTAATTCAGTTCTGCTTTCTCCACAACTAAAGTTTCCTTGTGGTGGTAGTGCCTGCATCTTTGGCAGAGTCTGCATTTGCTGCACATCTCCCCATTTCTTAGCTTTCCCCATTGCTGGTCTTGATTTAACTTTCTACTAAAATTCTTCGCCACTATGTCCACGTGCTTTCCATCTTCCAAAGTTTTGTTTCTGACACCTGCCTTTTGGTTCATATGTATGTGTAAATTCTTTTGCTAGTGTTTTAGTTGGTTTCGAGTTAGAAACGCATTAGCTGTATTTTCCTTCTATCAACTAAATATAGAAACTGTTCTTTGCTTTTGTGTTCATTGTTGCTCAAGGTATATAAACCCAATCCTGTGTCACACAGTCACCACCCACAGCTCGAGAAACTGCTCAGGTGAGCTGGCTACTGAAAGCTTGCCTGTAGCTTTTTTTTTTTCTTTTAGTTTTGTTTTGAATTATATATGCAACTTTTTTCTTAAAATCTCTTAAGTTCTTTCCCTAGTCATTATAGATGATATTATTTGGCTTCACTCTCATCATGATGGTATTTCTCCTTTTTGTCCTTTGTTCCTGAATTTTCAACATTGCTTGGACATAGACATTTATTCTGATTGACAACTCTGTTCCTATAATCCATTTCCAAGGCAATTTACTGTCATTAAAATCCCTGTGACCAAGATGTGTTGATTATATTTTCTTAAAAATTACACATTCTTGGCAGTTGGACAAAAATTTAGGTGGAATAGGGGCCTCCCTGGTGGTGCAAGGGATTAAGACACAGCACTAAGAAGACCCTCAGCCATGCAGCACGAGTTTGATCACTGGCCAGGGAGGTGACCCACATGGCGCAGCAGACCTCTCCTGTCTCGCCCACTGCTCCCCCTCAGCAGTGTATTTCAGTCAATCTGCCTGTTCTGCTCCCCATTCTCTCTCTGGTGAATCCTCTCACCCCCCAATATCTGGCCTGTAGCCCAGTTCTTGTATGTAGAAATAAATCTTTAAAAAAAATTCAGGTGGGGCCCTCCCATGGTGGTGCAGGTGGTTGAGTGCTATGCTGTGACACTGTCCACAGCCTCTGCAGCACCAGTTCGACCCTGGTCTGCCAGCGAGGGTCCCACATGGCACGGCAGACCTCTCCTGTCGCGCCCACTGCTCCCCTCATAAGTGTATTTCAGTGGATCTACCTGTTCTTCTTCCCACTCTTTCTCTGATGAATCCTCTCACCCCCCAACTTCTGGCCTGTACCCTGGTTCTTGTATAAATAAATAAATCTTTAAAAAAAAATTTAGGTGGAATAAAATCATAGATTTTAACCAGTCTTCACATATGTGGCAATATAGTTGTTTCCCCTAATAGAAGATAAAATAGTTTGAAGAAACTATTATGTTTATCAATTTTATTGAAATGAGGGAATGAAGAGTGCCTGCTTACTGGGTACAAAGTTTCTTTATGGTAGAAATGCTCTGGAACTAGGTAGTGATTATGGTTTCATAGCATTGTTAATGTACTTAATACCCCTAAATTGTACAATTTATAATGATCTAAAAGTTAAATTTTATGATGATTTGTTAGTTGGTATATATGACCCATTTTACACTTGCCAAGTTCTTAATAATTAAAGATGTGCATTTAATTTTTTTTACATCTCCCAAGTTTGAGACATGTGCTCTTAATAAAGAACATAAGACAACGTTAAGATGCAGTTTGGAAACCACAAAGAATGTACTACACTGAGTATCCAGTAGATGTCAGTGAAATAAAAGATAGCACTCTTCTGAAAACAGCTCTACTTTGTTTAACTCCTGCAGTGAGGAAAATTTGTGGGAATTCAGTGGGTTGACACCTCCCTCTAAAAATGATAAACAACATGGAGCCAAAGAAAAAGCAGTTGAATGGGGAATATAAAAATAAAATTTATTATTTTTAAAAAAGTACATATCTCAAAGGAAAAAAAAAGTGATATCTCAAAATAAATTAAAAAAATTTCATACTAAAAAAAAAAAAAGTGAAACTTCTAGACTCTCCTCCTGGGCTCTGCACCATCCACTCACCAAAAAAAAAAAAAGAAAAAAGAAAGAAAAAGCAGTTGATATACTCGGTGCACATAAAACTGGTGAAGTGATTTGTGCAGGATCCCCACCCCGCCCCAGTGCATTCACCACTGTGCTTGTCCCCAGCAAGAGTTAACTCCTCAGTGAAGTGTTGGATACTGTTGCAGGATAAACAAAATGTAAGGATCAGGTTCAGAATACTAGACAGATATAAAAACCAGAAGAACTTAATAAGAAATGCATATAACCAGTGTGCTGAACAAGAATCACAATGGGACGTAATCAAAATGAAACTTTCTGTCACTTACTGACTGCTCTTTGGCATCTCAGGCAGGGGAAGCTTTCTCCTGTCAATGGACAAAGACTATGTGAAAATGCCAAGCTTCTCTGCTCATTGCTAGGAAATGGTCCTATGATACTTTTAAGTCATAGACACAGTCTTGATTTAGATAATGTAAAGGGTCCAGCCCAACAGATTAAACCACACTTCACTCTCTGGCCCAGAGTGGCCAGTACCCTGCCTGACACCTTCTCTCCCAGACTTTGCTCTCACAAGCCTCTCTATAGAGATGGAGTGGGCTGACTTCCATACTTGGCTCCTTGCAAGCTGGGGCACAGGATGGTAGGTTGGATAGGGAGCCTCTACTCTCATGAATTAGATACACAGTTTACAGGTCCAACAGATTTTCACCCTTTAAGACCTGTGGGCATTTACAGGGGCTCTTAGAAGGCTGCCCCTCCAGCTGCTGCTTCTGGTCCACTCTCCAGACGGCTGCTCTGTGGCCCCAACTGTGTGGCAGGCCTCTGCATCACTGACTCACCAATGGGGCGCCCTTTGTCTTCCAGGCAGTTCTCTGAGAACTCTAAATGGTTCCACGTGGCCTCTCTCCCATAGCCTTGCCCTACCATCAATGAGAAGTGAATTACACCTAGCCCCTGCCCTCCACTGCCCCCAATTCTTTCAATGTAGATCCCTTGAACTTGCATGATTTCTGCAGAAAATGCATGTCAACTTCTCTTCTTTGAATTGTTCCACTGGATTCCACTCTATAGGTCTGAAGTCAAGGGTGTAGTTCCTCTAACACTCAGAAGATGGGGCTGACAAGGTATAGCAGCTCTTGCCAAAGAAATACACTAAGTTGCCTCCACTCCAACTCCATTTTCTCAATACTGTAATATTTGTGAAATGGATTAAGTAGCTCAAAAAATCTGGAAACAAATTCTTCATAAAGAATAAAGATGTACCCAGGATAAGTACAAGCTGTGCCACCGAAAGACACGTTTCCCAAGGTGGAGGCTGTGAGAATAGTGGGATCCAAGCTGGTCAACTGTGTCTTTAGACTGGAAAGGAGACTCAAGAAAGTGAGTAAAATGGAAGGTTCTATATAGAGACTGCACAGATGTCTTTTATCAATTTCTTTTTTTTTAAATTTATTTATGCATCAAGAACTGGGGTTCAGGCCAGAGTGCAGGTGGTGAGAGCATTCACCAGAGACAGAGTGGGGAACAGAACAGGCAGATTGACTGAAGTACACTGCTGAGGGGAGCAGCAGGAGAGAGACAAGAGAGGTCTGCTGCACCATGTGGGTAGCTCCCTGGCTGTCTGGGCATCGAACTCGTGTTGCAGAGGCTGCGCGGTGCTTAACCCCTTGTGCCACCAGGGAGGGCCCTTGTGTCAATTTCTTTAAACAGAACCTGGATACAGATTTCTCTGGGCTTGGGGTTGTTTATCACACAGGAAAATGGACCTGAAAAAAAGTCAATGATTGCTAGGGACTGCGGGGAAGGGGAGCAATTACCCACAAAGGGGACCCACAGAGGAGCATTTAGGGTGATGTGCTGTTATGTATGGCACTTGTTAATGGATATATGATGGCACATTTGACAATCTCATACAGCATGAATGTTACACGCAAATTTAAATATTATCAACCCAGATGTTAAAGACCCAATATGGAAAGCAGGATGTGACAAATTATTCTAACAGTACTACAAATGTATAATGTAATTTCACTGAAGGGGCAAGAGTAAAAAGAGATGATATAAATAACCAGAAAAAACTAGTATTTTGACTGAAAACTGTAAGTCTAGAGAGCTGTTCATAAATGCTGTATTCTAGTATGTAAATTTGTTTCTCACAGGGTCAGGGTTAGCAATCATGAAAGGATTTTACATCTACACTGGAGTTGAACAAATGAATAAATAAATGGCAGATAGTGGGTGCGACTTTCTTACCATCAAAGAAAGAGGTTACAAAAGAAACAAGCTAGAATAAAGCTTTGTGGTGTGGGATTTAAGTTGAAAACATTTGTTTGAACTCATGTTCAGTTTAAGGGGTAAGTAGCAAGGTAGGGTAGCTAGTTAAATACTGACAGTTGTGACTATGTGTGCATATATGTATACCTACATACAGTTCTCGAAGCTGTGCATTGAGCATGCCTGGAAACAGTGGGGTCTCCCACAATAGAACACACCTTCACCTAGTTCTTGATTTCTAAATACCATTCTCCAATAAAAGGAACCAGCGTTCTTTGGAGACATGGTTGATAGTAGGCCTGAGGCAAGGAAAGTATAAGATGAGCCCGGAGCAGTTTACAGTACTGGACGCTAAGGAAATGCTTCCGAAGCAAAAGAATGGGGGCCTTGGAGGAATACGAGTAAATGGAACACAGAACGCAATCTCAAAGAGCTCTCTATGGCCAAAGCTAGAAAAATTTAAGCAGTGACATAAATAGCATACTTTGGAATATAACAAAAGTATAAAATAAATATACATGAGTCTGTGCTGATGTAAATAACTGATTTAACTCTCCCTGGTGGCAGTCTGGAGAAGCCACACAGAAATGGCACCTTGCAAGGAGAAGGAAAAGAAAGAACAGGTCATTAGCCTTGTACCTCAGGCGCCTGACGGAGAAAATGTATTTAGTGTATGCCATGTTTTTGCATCCTTCAGTGACATTTTTGACCATTCACTGATCTTTCTGGCAAGGAAACCATCTGCCATGTAACTGGTGGGGTGAAGGTGAAGGCTGACCAACATGAATCCTCACTATATGCTGCCACGTTGGCCACCCAGGATGTGGCCCAGAGGTGCCAGGAACTCGGCATCACTGCCTTCCACGTCGAAGTCCAGGCACAGGAGGAAACTGGACCAAGACTCCTGAACCTGCAGCACCATTAGCCCTCAGAGCCCTTGCCTGCTCAGGAATGAAAATAGGGCAGATTGAGGATGTCACCCCCATGCCCTGATAGGACCCTCAGGAAGGGGGGTTACTCTTGTCACCATCTATGAACAGGACTCCTGAAATAATTTTCTGTGAAAATAAATTGCCTTCTTGTAGAGAGAGAGAGAGAGAGAAAGAGAGAGAGAGAGAGGAAGGAAGAGACAGATACTCCCTTATAAGTAATTCTAAATAACTTATATAAATATATTCCCCCTCCAGGAGGTGGAATTTAATTCTCTCCTTCTGTAGTGTAAGCTGGACTTAGTAACTTGCTTCTAGAGACAAGAGCATGGAAAGGGAAAATTGAAACTTCAGTAGAGAGACGTGGCATTCAGCGTCTGAACAAATGATCAAGATTCACGTCACCAGTAGGGTCAGATGCTGCCCAGTATCTACTGATGTGATGCGATAAGAAAGGTATTTCACATCTTCATGTTCTTTCCCAAAGCTCATAAAACTATGAGAAAACACAGACAAAACCACATTCTATGAAACACCCTACCAGTGCTTTTCATAAATGTCAAAATCATTAAAAAACAAAACAAAACGAAAAACCACAGGGCCTCCCTGGTGGCGTAGGCAGTTGAGCACCGCACTGTGAAGCTGTCCGCAGCCTCTGTGACGCGGGTTCAATCCAGGCTGGCCAGGGAGAGCCCACATGGCACGGCAGACCTCTCCTGACTCGCCTGTTGCTCCCCTCAGCAGTGTATTTCAGTCAGTCTGCCTGTTCTGCTCCCCACTCTGTCTCTGGTGAATCCTCTCACCCTCCGGCACATCTGGCCTGTACCCCAGTTCTTATATAAATAAATAAATCTTTAAAAAAAAAAAAAACAAGGAAAGCCTGGGAAACTATCAAAGATCCAAGGACACTAAGGAGACATGATTATTAAGTGTCATGTGGGATTCTGAATGGGGTATTGGAAGAGAAAAAGGATTTAGTCAAAACTCTGCTGAAATCCTAATAAGTTTGGAATGTAGCTAACAGTCTTATCAATCATAGTTAATTTTATGATTCTCATCACTGTACTGTCTTATGTGAAATCTTAATGTTAACTGGGTGAGAAGTACATGTACTACAAATTCTTATTAAAAGGAAAAGAAGGAAAACTTTATTGAAAGGGTCAGGTATATTTAGATTGAATTAAACTGGGTATATGCGGGTTATCATGGCTATCAGAGGGTAATGAAACAACATCCACAAATGAATATTTCCCAAATGTTCTGAGGTTAATACTTAGCCATGACTCCCCAGGGAGTGTTCTAAGAATCTTGAATAAGGCAAATGTTTCCTTTAAAGGATAAAGTTTCCTGTGAGGTTATGTGTTATTTTTTAAATTTAAACTGACTCTGGGAAATGAACATGAATAAACAACACTATAAAACAAATGCAGTATCTTGGGGCCATTTGTCAAAGCACAATTATCTCAGAATTTGCTGGCATGTCTCAGCTTCCTATATGACATTGGAATTTATAGCTGGCAATTTCATGATAAGTTACTTGGGATTTTTAGATGTATAGATTACAAAGAAAAAATATGTTTTTCCCATCCCCATTAATTGAAACCATTCCCAGAAGCAAAATCAACACTAAAATTCATAAAAAATAATGACCCTTACTGTTTACCAAGCCTTCTACTAGGTGTTGGGGGGGGCGGTGTAAGCATGTGAAAATCAAGTGTGACTGTGGGAATTTACAATGTGGTTGAGACTCTAGAAAGCAGCTACTGGAGGCACTTCAGATAGTAACACACGACTTGAGTGACAGAGCAGGACACCAGATGAGTGCAGAATAGGACAACTTACTCCATGGTGACATAGCAGGTGCTGTGGATGTCTTGTCAGAAGTGATCAGAGTTGAGTCACTTTGAGCAACAGATAGACTCAAATAGATGGAGAAGAGTCATGAGGTGTCAAAGACACGGTGTGCCGCAGACCAGTTCAGAGGCAGCCAGAACACTGCTTTGCTGGAGCCAGGGGTACTCAAGGCAAATGGTAAGTAAAGTTGGAAAGTTGGCCTGGAGGCCTGGGAAGGACCATGCATGAGGACGGTGAATCTGGGCTCCACGTTGAGTAAATATGGCGTTATTAAAGGCCATGAGGAAAGGAGTTTGTGATTAAAACAGGCTTAGGGGAATATTCAGGTTATTTTGTCACAGTATGTAGAGAGGCAAGAGGAGAAACATTTGGGGGCAGAGCTATGGATTTAACCTACTAAGGCACCTCTTATGTCATGAGTAGTGTTCAGAATTCCAGAGCCAGGGGTCTCTTTCACACATTTCAAGGCCATGCTGATCTCCTGCGACCTGAACCAGATCATGCTGCTTTCTCTTGCATCATTAGTCTCTCCAAACAGAGAAGCTAGAGGTGACCAGAGTCTGGTATGTGTTTCCTATAGGATAAGACTTACAAACTACCCAACAGGATTTTCCCAGCTTCAGTTACTATAGCTGTTGGTTTTTCTTTTAAATCCAGGCTATAGGTAAGCTGCGTTTCTAAATAAAGGCACTGGAGTCTACCATCTCTGGTTAATTTTACACACTGCTTGGTTTATAAGACGATTACAACTCAGTGTTGCATTGGCAATCATGGTGAGCACTTAACTTTTGGGCAACAATGCACCTTCCACCTAAGCAAGATCCCTTACAGGCATCTGATTCTAATTTTTCCTTGCCTCTCACTCCACTGTTCAGTTTGCAACTAAATTCTATCACTTCACATGCCAGTCATATCTGCCTACTTTGGCTACTTTCTCAGCTAAAACATTAGGTCTGGTTGCTTCCTGTCTGTTTGTTTTTTTTTTTTCTTTTCTTTTTTCAGTTGAGTTTACTGCTGGTGTCTTGAGTTCTAAGACCTAAAGTGTGCAGAACACTTCTCATGTTTGGAAAGTGGGAGTAATGATTGCCACATTTGAGAAAAGGGGCTCAGCTGTGCAGTTGGTCCAGGACAGCAGCAGACAAGCGGGGGAATACTCAGCAGGTTGCTTTAATCAACTGAGGGAAATTGAGTTTAATTGCTGAGAGGCTTCAAATAAAATGAGACCCCAATATTCTTATATAATGTGTTAAATAAAGACTGCTAGTTGACACAGTTACTCATTTTCTTTCTCTTTGGGGTATCACATATTTACCTGGGCACTTTGTCACTCGGAATAAAGACGGTATCTTGGCAAATATACTTGGAGTTAGCTTCAACATGGACAGAATCAACACAAGTGATTGTCTTCAACTTTTCCATTTACCTTCTAAGAGAGAGATTGGAAATGCCTACAGGGGAGAAAAGTGTGAAAAGTGCAAAGTGAAAATTGTTGATTTGGTAGATAGATTTAAATTCTCCCTTTTCCCATGGGGACAGAATCATTCTTTTCTAGGTCAAGGGATACAGTAGAGAAATAATACAAGACAGTCCTCAAACCTCCTATGTGAGCACAGATCCTATGTATTTTAACAAGAATATGCCCACTCAGTTCACCTCTTATCCTGCCCATCTTCATCTAGGCGTGCCCTCTGCCTACCAGACCCCTTCTTACCCTACCAAATACAGAGAAACTAGAGGTGACCAGAGACTGGTAAGTGTTTCCTATCGGATAAGACTTACAAACTACCCAACAGGATTTTCCCAGCTTCAGTTACTATTGCTGTTGGTTTTTCTTTTAAATCCAGGCTATAGGTAAGCTGTGTATACACACACACACACACACACACACACAACCCAGCCTTCAAACTTCAAACATTGAGCTCATCAAGGAAATCCAACTGATGTCAGTTACAGTAGGTTGGAAATCAAAAAGTCATCCACACCATGCCAAGGCAGAAAGGGGCTTAGAAGGGGGTTATTTGTGCAAGAACACAATGGAGCCCATGCAAAAACACTGTGGTTCCTCTCTCCTTCCCCAAAGGAAAAGGGGAAACAACAATGTAAAATACAAGGACCTGAAGCAAGAAGAAAGTATAGCTCAAGGACCAAAAAGAAAGTCCCAACTAGAACTTCTTACTTTACATATCTTAAGAAGTACATAATGTTAGTTCATAAACAAGGGCTCGACACAACAGTATGAGATGAAAGGAAAACTGCAGGCCTAAGGGAAAAAACTGAAGACCAAAATTATATCATCACAAAACTAACAAATAGCTAAAAAACAACAAAGCTTAAATATCATGGGATGAAGAGAGGAAAAACAAAAGTAGAAAAGAGAATGACTAGGAGGATATCTCACAGGCTAGAGATGATAGTAGCATGGGGTAGAAAAGCAATGGTGGGATTCTGGATAGGGTCCTGGAACAAGAAAAAATCAAAAAGGACAGTATGGAAAACTGGTGAAAATAAAAACGGTCTTTAGTTAATGGTAGTGCACTGATATTAAATTCCTGGTTCTAATATCTATTCCATGTTTACCTAAGATGTTGGTATTTGGGGAGAGGTACATGGAAACCATCAACACTACCTTTTCAAGTTTCAATAAATATAATGCTAATTCAAAATGAATAAATTTTTAAAATGAGAGACATCTGAATGTGATGAAGTCTTGATTGTAGTGTATAAGAGAGAGAGTCAAGAACAACTCAAAGATTTTGTTCCTGAGAAAGTAGGATCAGAATCTCTGGGGTACTGTTCAAGGCACTGACAGCTTTTGCTTAGCCAAGGGGAAGAAATCCTGGTCTCCATAGCCCCCTCAGATGAGAACAACATTAGTTCAATTAAACTCAGTACATCCTTGTGCATTCAGTATTTTTAAAACCTCCATTTTGCAGAGAGGAAACTAAGGTTCTCTTTAAACTGAGGTTAAAAGACCAAGTGACCCAGCAGTCAGCCAATGGCACCATGACTCATATCTTCTGATACCAGATCATTCTCTAACTGGTGAGTGAAAATCAAGGTAAAGAGTAAGAAACATTATGCCATTTGCAGCAACATGGATGAAGCTGGAAGGAATCATGCTCATTGAAATAAGCCAGAAAGAAAAAGAAAAATTCCGGATGGTCTCACTCATAGCAGGAATTTAGAAGACCCAAATAAGGTATCAGGAAAAAGACTAATTACAATAAAGTGAAAATCAAAATCAACAGGCAACTCTAAACCAGAGACACGCTACAGGGAGTAGAAGGGAGTAGGATCAAAACAAGGGTGGTAGGAATTGTACGGGGACTATAACCAAGAAGATAATGCATACATTGTACAAAAATGAAAATAGATGTAAAAAATATATATAATTTAAAAAATTTAAAAAGAGTAAGAAACATTATAGAAAAGATGTTGTTCATTCCAGCACATACCCCTGGCAACTTATACACTGGAGTCATCAGGGCCATGGCTTTGCCTCCCGAAGCTGCACCACCCCTGCAGGGTGTGCCTGCCCCACTGGCCCCCACCGGCTGCCGAGGGTCATGGGCACAGGCATCGCAGGAGGGCCCTGGCCTTGCTCAGAGCAGGTCAAGGGCCCACAGCTCAGGCACAATGTGGATTTTTTGCCTGGGAGGCCCTAGGAAGTTTCACTTTTCCTTGGTCCCTGCCCCCTCCTTTTCCTAATCCATTTACCACTGGAGCTTCCCTTCATCCTGCTGGTTTCACCTGCCACCAGACACTGCCCCAGATTCCCCATATCCTTCAAAGTAGAGTCCCTACAGTGTCCCTATAATGTCCTCATGCTAGATGCCATGTGGCTCATATCATTTTGATGTATTCTATGCTAATAAGGCTTTGCTTTCCATATGAGGGGGAGCATCGGCTGAGAAAGGGTGAAGAGCACCTCTCAGGGTTCAAAGAGGGAGAAGGCATCAGCGTAACCCACTCCATGCAAATAATACTTGCTGGATTCTAGTACAGGGGTGATGGAGGCAAAGAGAAGATAGTCTTTGCCCGTGAAGACTCAAAAGACTCAAATTTGCCCATGAAGAAGAGCAAATTGGTAAAGAAATTATGAAGAGTGCTACAAGCACTGATTGAAGTAATGTGGGCATGCTGGAGGACAGGAGAAAGGGGGCAACGTTGGAGACATGATTCAATGTTGAGTGCTGAAAGCTGGAAGAGAGGTAACTGGGGGCTGCTTGCAAAGCCTTGGAGCAAGGGGAGTCATGGTCTGTGCCCCTTTCCAAGAATTCTGGGAAGTACCTCAACCTGAGGGCCACATAAATAATTAACAGTGATGGGAGGCCAGAAAAGTGGCAGGGCCAGGTCTGGAAGGAAGGGCCCACTAAACAATGTCACGGGGGACCTTTGAATGCTTTAGGCAGAAGAGGAGCAAGACAGATTTACACTTGAGAAGCATGCCTTGTTACCACAGGGAGGTGGTATCTTTAGTGCATAAACAAGCCTCTTATGGAAGCATTTCAGGGATCTGGAGAGCCTACCACTGGGGTTGGGGGGTGGTGTGGCTGCAGTAAGAGAGAGAGGAAGGGAGAGAGAATGGAAATCTATACAACCCAGCTACGGAGTAAACATGAGGAAAAGATTGAGATTGAAGGGCTGAATGAAACCTTCACCAAGATGGGGATTCCACAGAAGAATGTTTTAGGGGAAAGATATTTCAGTTTGAGACTGTTAGACACTTAGGGCAAGGATGGTGATGCCTAAAGAAATTAAACAGCCAACTATACCCAGGACCCCAGGAAAAACTTGCCAGAGCTGATTTAGCCCAGGGAGAGCCAAAAAAATGCCCAGAGGGGAGAAAGGCAGTCTACCCACCCCAATGCACAGCCAGGCCATAAAGCCTGAGGAAAGCAAGAAGCACCCAGAGTGGGGCAATTCCTCAAAACTGGCCAGTTTCTTGACAATAAGGCAATTCTTTCAAACCAACAAGCAATATCTGGAAAATACCCTAAATGCTCTCACCCTCCTAAGGGAAGGGCAGAAACGGTTGACACCATCACAACTCGGGCCTAATGGTCTCCCCAGTCCCAACCAGCTGATAAAACTACACCTTGGGAGCACAGTAGAAGGGAGAATTGAAGCAGGGCTATAGGTGTCTGATAGCCACCAAGGACGGTGCCCAACAGAAGACAGGTCACTAAATTCTTACCCCACATGCACAATTGCAAGACCACTCAGGCTCAGGGAACAACAACAATGGGATTTATTTAACAAAGAGGGAAAACAAAGAGTTACTCAGGCCAAAGTGGCAGGCTATCTCACCCTAGATAGTGTCCACAGTGTCTAGAATTCCCAAGCAAAAAGCCACTCAACCAAGATGGTGCCTTCACACCAACAAGGCCCTGGAGCACACGGCAACCAGCGGTGCTCACAGGCCAGGCTGCTGAGACTACACTGCAGCAGCTGGCACTAACAATCTAAAGGTCAGGATGAACAGCACTGAACAATGGAACAATGGAAAGCACCAACACCGGAGGCAATGCTGAATATAAACAGCTCTTCATGAGCCTCTGGCCCACACCCACAACAGCTCAGCCAGACACCTTTGGGGCTCTCTCCAAGCAATAACAATAACAAGACTGGAGGCAGGGGGCCTCCCGGTGGTGCAGCTGGTTGAGCGCAGCTCTGTGAAGCTGTCCGCAGCCTCTGCAGCACTGGTTCGATTCCCAGCCGGCCAGAGAGCTTCCTACATGGCATGGCAGACCTCTCCTGCTGCGCCTGCTGCTCCTCTCAACAGTGTATTTCGGTCATCTGCTTGTTCTGCTTCCCGCTCTGTCTCTGGTGAATCCTCTCACCCACCCACCCTCCTGTGCCACTGGCCTGTACCCCAGCTCTTGTAAAAAAAAAAACAAACAAAACAAAACACACACACAAAAACACTAGACCAGTGGCAGATTCACCACCCAGTTACCTGCAGAACTTTTTAGCTTTTGTGCACAATGGTCAGCCACCAAAGCTTCTTCCTTCTTTTTCTTCTTTTCTGAGGTGAGGTACAGAGTGCAATGAGCCTAGGATGGAGATCAGCATCTTTTGATCCAGGGGATCTCTCCTGTGCTACCTTATATCCACTTCTAGGGTCCCCCACCCTTCTCAATACCTCCTGATTGGCCCATTTAACCAGGCTGGCACCTGAGTCAGGGACTGCTCACTGGCAGCAGCTATTGGCGTGGGTGAGTAAACCCACCACATTACAGAGTGACTTAGAAACTGCTGCCCAGACTGATAAACCAACACCCCAGGGGCGCCTGTGCAATGCACCCTAGATGGGATGGAATGAGCAGCCTCCTCGCCCCCATTTAAGGCCAGAGCTACCAGTTGTTCTTAGCAAGGATTCTGCCTGCCCAGATCTCTCCCTGGGTGTCCTTTTACTCTGTCACTAAATAATCTTAGCTTTTGCTTCTGCCAAAGACATGCCAGTGAAGTCTTCTCACCATAATCAAAAACCAAGGAACTCCTAATCCAGGAACCCCCCAAACCCAACAAGACGTGAGTCTGAACTGTTTGTGGGACATAGAAGTCAATTATCTAGATAGCAGTTGGACACTTGGGCGTTAATAGTAGGAGAGAGAGAACCGGAATGAGAGCAGGACTAGACAGACTGAGGAGTCTGCATTAGCTGGAGGCTGTGACTTCAGACAGAACCCCCCAGACCTGGCAAAGGGAGCAGAGACCCACGTCTAAGAACTTTGTGAATGCCAGCACTTCGGGAAGGGGCAAGGAGACGCCCCTTTGAGAAAGAACTATCAGAGGGGCCAGGGTACAGCTGCCTGGTGCCCTGGAGCTGCAAAGAAAATGAAGATAAACCTGTTGATTTGGGATCACTGCAGCTGGGGAGGTGCAGGAGGAGGAGAACCAGGGTGATGCGTGAGGATGGGATGCTTAAGGAGAATGGAGAGCAGCCTGTGAAGTCTAGGGTGGCCAACAGTGTCAAGAATATGGCAATGGGATGGCTCAGTTTGAGAGAGAAATGCAAATTGATCTAAAGAATTCAGTGACATTGAGACAGGAAGGGTCCCAGGACAAGGATAAAATTTTGCTATTCCTGAAGACTGGTAAACAAGAGGTTAAAAAACCTGATGCCCTAAATTTCCTTAGTTCAGTTGTTTTTTTGTTTTCTTTGTTTTGATTTTACTATTTCTGAGCTAGCTTTCTGCAGCTTATCAAATTGGCAGCTATGGGAAAAAAAGGAGTTGCAGATCCAGGAGAAAATAGTTTCAGACCTTGAGACCAGACCGGTTCAAACTGGAGCTGTGGGCACAGAGCCTCCATGAGATGTTCACCTTGGCTGTGGTCACGTGCCCTGCACCATCACTGAGCTGCTGCTGATTGGTGCCCACAACTGGCAAAAATAGATGGACTTTAGCCAAATACACATCGTTGCTTTCTCAGTGAATAGTTTAATTCCCTTGTTCTCAAACCCCATTCCTAAAACCTATATAGCTTCATAGTCCCTGCACCTTGTCAAGTCTCTCATGCCCAGAGAGAGCTCCCCAGAGCTCTCTTTCTTGTAGTCAGTCACTGAATAAATGCTGACTCCTTGCTTGCTCTCACCAGTGTCTGTGGCATCCTCTTTCCAGTCTTGACTAGAGGGGTCTCAAGAGCCCTTTCTTTCCCTGGCTTCAGAGTGGGGTCCTTCCACTCCATCCCTTAATTCCCAGGGAGGGTGGAGGACTTCACTCCCAGTTTATCTGCCTGTGTTGTTGGAGGGTGGGGTCAGATTGAGGAAGCCCAGATGCCCTCCGTTTGTCTGGGGGCAACATGAATGTGGAGAGCAGGGGAATGGAGGGTGCAGCCCCGGGTCTTGCCTCAGCACCCACCATCCAGCCTGAGTGCCAGTTCTGGGATCAGACTTGGCACCTGAAAATGGTAAGAACTTCAGCATGTTATCGAACTGTGTGAACTTCATTTTCCTCTGCTAAATAAATGATGATGGTGCAAGTATGGCCTGGGATTGTTGTGAGGATTAAAATGAAGACATATATAGAAATAACCCAGCACAAATGAATTAGTAATTAGTAACTGTGGTTGATCAGACCAAAACCTTGGAGTCAGATTTCTCTCTCCCTCTTTCCCACCTCCAATTTAGAGGGACATCTTGTTTTTTGGAATCCCTAAATACTACACATATTAAATCTGAATTTTCACCATCTCCACCCTGGTCCACCTCTCAACCTAATTATTGCAGTTACTTCTTAATGTTTTCTGTTCTCCTGCCTTTTCCTGCTCTTCCCTCATCACTCTCATCAGTGGCAGAGTGATTTTAAGTCAGGCCACAAGTTCCCCGTTAGACCCTTAGATGGGAGCCATTTCCTTAAAAGGCTACCAAGACCATACATCCCTTTGTGACCCACTCCTTTCTGTTCCCACTTCTCCAGGTTCTCTCTTCCCAGCCACAATGAAACTCACTCGGCAGTTTCAGAGCCTCACCAGAAGACGTTTGTCTCCTTTCTTACCTTCCTGCTTTGTAAACTCATCATCCCGCTGAACTTCTGGCTAACCTTCTATACTCCTTAACCCTCTTTCTTACGTTGCCTCTCTCTAGTATTTATAAGTATCTAATATTTTTGTATATTTCATTTAAGTTTTTAAATTTTCTTATGGGGTGTAAACTCCACCGGGGCAGGGGTTCCCTCCCTCACCCGCCTTTTCCTTTGTCACTACTGTATTCTCAGGCCCTAAGACAATGCCTGGTACTAGCGGTGCCCAACGATTATTTATGATTGAATATATAATGGAAAGTCACCAAAATTTTTAAGTCTCTCCGTGTTCCCAGCTGTGAGTCTGTAATATTAACATTGCCTGGCGTGCCTCCTCGGGTTGTTTCCAGAAGAGAATGTTACATCAGCATCTGTGAAAAACCAGATCCCACGCAGAGGACAAGCCTTTGACGTGGATAGGCGAGGTCAGCTCTGGGTTCCCTGCCTGCGCACCTGAGCTTTCCAAAGACACCGGGGCTTTGGCGCTCCGCCCCCGCCCCTCCGTCCACACCCAGCCCCGCCCCTCCTCCCGCCCCGCCCCGCCCCCATCTTCGGTGCCCGCCCCGTGGGGTCCGCGGCTACCCGCGCGGCGCGGGGAGTACCAGGGGGCGGCGCCTGGAGACGGGGAGGAGCGCAGCTTGGAGGCCTCCAGACACAAAGAGCGGCCCGCGAGACTCGGAGTGGGAGCGGCGAGCCCGCCCAGCGCACCTTCGGCTGCGCCCCCGGCTCCGTGCGCAGGCGGAGACCCGAGGCGCCCCGTGACCAGGTGAGCCGGGCCAGTGGCGCCTGCGGGACCCACCCCTCGGCCGCACGTGCCGGCCGCTAGCCCTGCTGATGGAGCCGCGGAGCAGCGAGGCTGTGTGTGCGTGTGTGCGCGTGTGTGTTGTGCGCGCGCGCCTGGGGATCGGCAGTTGAGGGGCAAATTAGCCGAGGCCCCCAGACTCTAGGCAAAGTGGGGTCGTGGGCTGAGAACTCCGCGGCCGCCCCGGGACCTGCTCCTGGGCGCGTCCATCCTTAGCCCGGGGATGGCAGCCACAGTCTCGTTAGGTCTGCTGCGGTGCCCGACGTTTCCCGTCACTGCGGGACTGTGTGTGTGGGTGGCGGGGGGGTGGGTGGCGAGGGGGGTAGGAGGGGTTGCTTTAAGGTGTCCGTGGGAGCCCAACTGCTTGACCAAGCGTTTAAAAACCGGTTCTACAATAGTTACCGTTTCTGAAGTGGTGACGATCCTCGGACCAGAGTTTGCAGTTTTCCAGGCCCCTTGCTAGAGTGGGTTAAACTCCTGCTGTGCCATCAGGATCTGGTCGGGGTTTTCGGTTGTAATGCTGAGGTTGAACCGTAGGGCGAGAACCCCGGCGGCCGTGGCTGTCTGCAGCTAGCATTCCTGTCCCGGCGCGCAGCCCCGGCGGCCTGGTGCTGTGGCTGCCCAACCCGGGCCCCCGAGTCCCTGCAGCTTTGCCTGTCATCTGCAAAATGCGAGGACCCCATTCCTCTGAGCCGTCAGATTATTCTGCAGACAGCTCCTGTAATTAAGTTTGCGTCCGACTATGGAGAAAATCATTGTTACTACTAGCTTCTTTTGAAATACTGGTTTACACTTGGAAAATAGTTTGCATGGGACGGAAATAGTTTGCGGGACTGGGACGGAAGTTTATTGCCAGTGTTATCTGTTTTACTAGTTGTTTTTGAAGAATCGTCCTTTCCTCCCATCAGTGTGCTTAGTTACAAATCCATGTACGAGTGTGTCCAGTCTCTTTGGGAGTTTCACATTCATAAATGGTGCCTCACACTTGTATTAATGCTGTGTTGTTATAAGCTCTGTAGCACCATGTATTTGAACAGGAGGCAAGTTAGGAAAGGGTGGCTTGTTTTTTTTCCTACTTTGGGAGACTTAGGTCAGATTCTGGAACAGGGAGGAGGCCCACGGGCAATTCTGAAGCTGGAGGGCCTAAAGGCTCGAGGTCCCACCAGCAACGCTGTCAGTAAGAATGAGGGACTCGCAGGGGTTAAAGACACAGCGCTGTCAAGGTATCCTGGCCCCAGGAGGCAACCCACATGGCATAGCAGACCCCTCCTGTCTCAGCTGCTGCGCCCCTCAGCAGTGTATCTCAGTAGATCTGCCTGTTCTGCTCCCCAGTCTCTCTGGTGAATCCTCTCTCACACACCCCCACCTCTGTTCTACGCCCCAGTTCTTGTATGTATAAATAAATAAATCTTTTTTAAAAAATTAGGGACTATGAGTGACAGTTGAATTTCTCTTTAGAGCCCTTTGCTGTGATTTTCACATTGAACTTGGCATACTTATAAAAGAAAATTAAAAAAAAAATAGTTAAAACTGGTCTGTTAAACAGAGCACTAAGCAGCTTTGTAGTTTTTGAACTGTATGCAAGCGTCTGTATTAAAAGAAAAATGTGAAGAAAAGTCTGCCACTGTCCTGTCCCTTTTCTGTTTGATTTAGACATCATCTCTTGGTGATTTAATTATTTGCTAAATGGGATGTGTGTGTTTATATATAGGTCAAATTCGATAAAAATTAGAGGGTGATAGTTTCTGTAGTATGAGAAACAGCCTTCTCCAAACAACCTGAACTTCATTTAACACCATCAATATCAAATTAGAAAGAACATTTTTTCAGAGGAAAAGTTTGGAATTTAACACTTTTTAATTGCATAGTGTATATAAACATTGATGGAAAACTTTCTCTAATTCCCATTTATCCAATAAATTGTGGTTTGCAGGGCTGCTCAGAGGTGGATGAATCAAAACAGTCATTTGACAGCATGTTGTAAATCCTTAGTATTAGTGTGTCCTTTGTTCTGCATCCTTGTGAACATTTGGTCATGGAAAATAGAGTAATAAAAGAGTTGCAAAGTCCTAACCATAAGTATTCAAAGTATTCAGACCCTGCCCTTTTATGGTGAGTGACATCAGATCCTGATTAGTGGGTGTTTGTTTTTTTTTAAGATGGTTCTTGGGGCATAAGAGCGGTCCTTCTGACCTCTTTCTACCTTGTGCACTTAACCCTTTGAATCTTACATGAAGAGGTGGCTGTTAAATCTCTCTCTCTCCTTCACTGGTTCAAGGGAGGGCTAGAAAAAAAGGAGGCAAAAATGGTGTTCTCATCTTACCCCTGAACTAGAAGTCTCAGTGGTGGGGAGGGGTCTGGAATGGCTCCTGAGTACGAGATGACACCTTTGCTTCTCGAAGAACGTTCCAGCATGACAGCCATTTGTGGTCTGATTCCTTGGTCATTTTTTAAAAGGTGGAGTGGGAGTGGCCATAACTAGACTCTAGATTTGGGCTTAAGCATAGTCCTTGGCTTCAAGTACAAATTAGGGATTCAGGCTCAAGGCCAGAGATTTGGTTAATCACAAGCAGGAGGCCAAAACTTTAGGTCAGACTCTACCTGAAGCTATTTGGAGGGTGGTGGTAGCAGAAGACGTTCCTTCCCTCTTCTTTGGGATAACCTTGAGCTTGTGGATGAGAGTTCTCCACAAAGGATTCTGTCTGTGAACTGTGGGACTGTGGAGTCTTACGGCATTTTCTGTATTTTTTTAAACATTTATTTATTTATTTATGCAAGCACTGGGTACAGTCAGAAGCACGGAGGGCGGGAGAATTCACCAGAGCCAGAGCGGGGAGGAGAACAGGCAGACTGACGAAGTGCACTGCTGAGGGGAACAGCAGGCATGGCAGGAGAGGTCTTCGTGCCATGTGGGACTCTCGCCGGTGGCTGGGGATCAAATCGATGCTGCAGAGTCTGCAGGCAACTTCACAGCCCAGTGCTCAACCGCTGTGCCACTGGGTCGGCCCCATTTTCTTTATTTTTACCCTTTTGGAACATGCATCTGGTGCTGTGTGGCCGCAATGTTGTCTCTGTCAACCCTGGTTTGTTCTCACTACCCAGGGATAATACACATTTTTCAAAGACTAGTGCTTAGTCTTTTTAGTTGAAACCCTTTGTGTCTCAAATGAACCAAAGCACTCTAGGCAATTCCACCGCACTCAAGCTTGAGAAGCACTGGTATCCCGCCAACTGTTGTACATTGATAGTTATTTTGTATTTCAAAATAACTGGGAAATCTTGAGCCTCCCCGGTGGCGCAGCGGGTTGAAGCACTGTGAAGCTGTCTGCAGCCTCTGCAGCGTGGGTTTGATTCCTGTCCCACCAGGGAGATACCCACATGGTGCGGCAGACCTCTCCTGTCTTACCTGCTGCTCCCCTCAGCAGTATTTTTGATCAGTCTGTTCTCTTTCCTGCTGTCTCTGGTGAATTCTCTCACCTTCCTGTGCCTCTGGCCTGTTCCCCAATTTATATTATTATATAAATAAATAAATCTTTAAAAAAAAAAAAGAAAGAAAGAACCTGGGAAATCTTTTTGTGATGTGACACATTTTAGCCAATGACCTTATTTTGGGATCTGTATTGTTTAACAGATTAAGAGATTGGCGTGTGGGAGTTTCTCCAAATGGTCATCATTTATAGTTACTGTTAAAGGTCTGAAGGGAAATGATTCTTTGTAATCTCTAGGTTTTTAAAGTCTCAGTGAAGAATTGTCCATTTGTAGATGTTTATCAGTTAGGGTGGGCACTATTCACATAGGGGTCTTTGACAGCCTCTGACCATAAATCAGCATCAAGTGATACAGGGGAACATTTACTGATTTGGAGTTTAGTTTCAAGGGAACAGGAATTTCCTACACAGTTGAAAATTACTTACAAATCAACAAGGCAGCCTGCTCACTGGAGACTTAGACACCCCAGGGACAGTTCTTGGTACCCTGGCGGGGAGGTGCCTCTGGCTTCCCGCTGTGTTCACAGAAGTAGAAACCCCCCATGGAAGTGAGCACCCACTCTTGGTTCCCAGCTTGGGGGAGAGGACAGAACCTTGAGCAGAGGAGACTCTTTCCTGCACACATGGGGTGCTTGTCCACAGGTGGATGGGGAACAAGCTCATTGTCCCCCTGATAAGGGAGGGTGACACCTTCTGCCCAGGAAAACTGATTCCTAAGGGCCCTGCAGCTCCTCCAGTAGCTCCCTGGGTTCAGGTGAGCTTGGTTTTGTAGTCAAGCTTCTTCAAGGTAACCTTAGGCCCTCTCCAAGGACCTAAACAAAAGGAAGTGGGCGTTTAGCCCCCTGACTCAGCCAGAAAACAGAGATTTCCAGTTTCTGAACCCTATAGTCTATATTAATGGTCTGTTCTCACTGCTGATAGCATTCAGAAAACTGCTTCTTTTTTTTTTTTTTTTAAAGATTTTATTTATTTATTTATACAAGCACTGGGCATAGTCAGAAGCGCGGGAGGGTGAGAGAATTCACCAGAGCCAGAGTGGGGAGCAGAACAGGCAGACGATGAAATACACTGCTGAGGGGAGCAGCGGGCGCGGTAAGAGAGGTCTGTTGCGCCATGTGGGACCCTCACCGGCGACCAGGGATCGAACCGGTGCTGCAGAGGCTGCGGGCACCTTCGCAGCCCAGCACTCAACCACTGCACCACCAGGGGAGGCCCAGGAAAACTGCTTCTAATAGAACATTTGCAGGGGTCCTGTGTAATTCAAGCTTTCCAGGCCCTGCTCTGTGCAAAAATAGGAAAATAGTCAGTAGTTCACATCACTGCTGTGTGGCTCTGTAAGTAAGCAGTTCTTAATATATTCTGAATTCTCATTTCAAACTGCACACGTAAAATAAGACTTTGATATTTGTAGCTTTTACTGTGTGAAATTCTCATAATTTAAAGTATCATAAAAGGTGACAGCCCTGCTGCACACCCCATCTTTACTAAGTGATCAAAGTTAATGTCACCAGTAAAGAGATATCACTGATAAGAGGCATTGAGAGGCAAGTGTTGTTGCCATAACCTGAATTGCATTACTTGAAGACAGCAAACTCCACTTCTGTGACATCCTACAAAAATAACAAGCGTTATATTCTTAAAAAATTTTAAATCAAGAAACAAAATTTAAAATCAAGACCCTCGATTGGACACTGGAAGGGATCCAAGTATTACAAAGGACTTTATGGGACAGTGGACAGTATTTGAGTGTAATTTGTGGATTAGGCAACAGTATTGTTTTCAATGGCAGATTTCCTTTGTTTGGTTATTATACTATGACCATGTCCTTGAGTTGAAGTTTAATAAATACAGATTGAAGTATTTAGGGATAAAAAGGCACAAAGTCTGAATCTTAATCTGAAATAGGAGGAAGGAGAGAGAGGGAAAAAAATGATAATGTGGGCATGATGAATGGGGTAAACAGATGAGTTGGTGAAGCTGGCTGGGTAAAGGGTACTTGAGACTTCTT